TAAATATAAAAACAGCTGTTACTATTTTCAGTGAAACGTACCGTAACAGTTACCGGTAGTAGTAATATTGTTAGGATTACCAGTACGAATGGTTGTTTTATGTGAAATTTGTAGACGAATATTCATGTGTAGTACATCTCAGTAATAAATATCTCTTACACGATACAATGTGTTACGTCTCCAAAATTTACCAATTAAGCAGCTGTATTGCATGTTTATGGAAAGGAAATAAGCAATACAATTTTACCGGTTATATAGTAATATATTAAAAGTCAAGAAAAATTAAAAACAAATTCCCATCATTAACAGCTAGTAAACGAACAGCAAAAAAAAAACATTTATGTAAATAGAATCATTCTTGAAATATACTGTAACATTTCACAAATACAAGCACCATATTTGGTAAGATTTATTTGTAACAAGAAAACAATAACAATACTACATGCCTTAATTTAGCAGTGTAAGACTAGAGGTAAGGCAGCTAATCATCATCACCCACCGCCAACTCTTTTACCAACGAGTAGTGGGATTGGGCGCACATTATAACACCCCCCACGGATGAAAGGGAGAGCATGTTTGGTGGGACGGGGGCTCTATCCTGCGACCCTCAAGTTGAGAGCCAAGTGCCCTAATCACCTGGCCATGCCAAACCACAATAATTCGGTAATAAAAGTATATTAACAAAACGTGTATCGAGTTTTCCTTCAAATACAAATTTAAAAATAGGTATTTTATATTTTACATTCTAAAATGATCACATATTTTTAATAGCATGCTTTGCATGTTTTAACACAATTTTTCTCCCCCTAACATATGAGTAAGCTTATTTTGAGATTATCATCCAGTAAAAAATATTTATTTGTCTTTATTGTGGATGAAATCAAAATAATAGCAAGACTCCATCGTGGTAAAATTAAGGATTTATAACATTAGAATTCAGGGTTCGGTCCCCTCGGTGATCACAGCATAGATGTAAAGGCAAGCATGCTCAATGGCGTGGATTTGAACCCGTGATCCTCAGACTGCGAGTCGGGCACTTTAACCACCAGGCAATATGCTTGTCCAAACGTTGTACATTTGTTGCTTGTAATAAAGATTCATTACCAATTCAAGTTGTCTCTAAACCTTATTTTCTAAACGTGGGTACCTCTGTCATTAAATTTGTTTATGTTGTTCTCATTTTTATAAGTTTACTAACATACTTTACATGGAACTCCTATGTGTCCTTTCTTGCTCACATATTTCACAAAGAGAGCATAAATATTGAACATTCCAGGTAATAAACGGTTGTGGATGCCTCAGAGGTCAACATGAGGGTTTATAACGATAGAATTAGTGGATCGATCCCTGTAGTGAGTACAGCACAAAAAGCCCATTGTGCAGCTGTACGCTAAACAACTAACAAGAAACGACTTGCCGTATACTAAGAGTATTGCATGAGGTGTCTAAATTTTTACATTAAAATGAATGAAACAGAAAAATGTAGCCTTGCCCATAACTAAAACTTGGTTAACTTGTTAGTTGAAAAGAAAATCTTATTACTACTTTAATAAAAAAAAAAAATACGATCATGTGTACAATCGAGACATTAGTTTGCTGTAACTTTACCACAGAAAAATACATTTTTCAACAATTACAAGAATCTGTTTATCAATTAAAATACTACAAATATAATAAGTAATACAATTTTGATAATTTAATCAAAAAAAGATATTGTCTTGGCTTCCATCTTTAACCATTTCTCATCAACTAAATAAGAACATTTCTAACTGTTTTTACCAGCCGAATTGACAATGATTCCCGAAAATATTTTCGTACAAGGGAAACTTACATCGAGATTTCGGTGTCACCTGATAACTCCTTATGGGAGTATTTTAACCTTTGCAATTTCTTTATTCAATTACTTTCTAAATTGTTGGAGAAACATTAACCTCTTACCCAAAATTCTGTTTATTTTTTATTTACACATTTGAAAATGTGTTACATTAACTCACTTGAGACCATGTTGCATGATACGGATGCCATGTTTGTTTGCCAGTCTCTCTTGGATTGCAAGCGAATGATTCTGTACATTTTCCTTTTGAAACAAACACCTTATTATGTCAGAGTTCAATTACATCTCATCAAAATGATATTTCACTTACACATTTCTCTATTCTTGAACATTTATCAGCCCAAAACAACATTTTAAACGGTGTTATTTTTACTGGGAGTTAAGTTACAAGACTATCTGCTTTACTTTTAATTATAAACTTATCCAAATACTAAAAATCCATGTAATGGCTGGAAAGACCATTAACTACAATTGAGTTCGGGTAACTTGTCAATAAGAAAATGAACGTTGACTAATTCAACTAAAAAACGAATAAAAACTACCATATGTATTATTGAGATGTTAGTTTACTAGAACTTTACCAATTCAAAATAATGGAATTTAACATTGTCATCAATTAGAAGTTTGCTTATCATGTAAAAATATTAATAAAAAATGTAATAAAAGTGCACTTTTGATATGTAAACCAATCACGAGAGAGAAAGTAACAAGATTGCTGACCACTAACTAAGCCTAATTTTTAATTGTTACTTCTCAACTAAATAAAGATATTTCCAATTTTAATTGCCAGACAATAGCTCCTAGGAAAATTAATACATCATTTGATGGTTCTCTGGATAAGAGTATTCTAACTAAAGTGTTTTGTATTAATTATTTACCAGCAAAGTACATGGCATTTGATTGGATGATATTGGCTTTAAATATCACGATTTCTTTATATAACTAAATATTTTGATTAAGATCAACAAAAATAACAATGTACAAAATGATAATAATGATTTGCTAAATCTGTTTTAGTCAAAGTAAAATTGGGTACATTGTTCTTGCTTCTTGTGTGTGCTTTACATGACATTTCAAGTTTCCTACATAAAATTCCCTACCTTTTGTGGTGTCATGATTTCTGCTGTATGGTCAAGTTTCATTTGTCAAAATTATAATGATGACAAAACATTGTCCAAACGAAATGTTGTACACTTGCTGTTACGTTAAACTTATATTTAAGTTTTTCTTCATTACCCATTCAAGCCGTCTCC